CCACACGCACACACACACACCACACGCACGCACACAAACCACACGCACACACCACACGCACGCACACACCACACACGCACAGAGATGATTCAGGCCTCGTTGCTAATACAGGATCTGGTGATAGAATACACCAAGTTATTTGTGAGTGCAAAAAGAAATAGTGTAAACCCTATTTAAAATTTGTAAAACCATTTTTTTTTTGTCATTGGTAATTTTTTGCGGGAAAAAGCCTGAATATTGCATTAAATAATGATTTTTGTTGCTATTATTGCCTACTTATCTAATAATATGAAAGGAGAGTGAAAAAAATGTGTTATTTAGGATAGTTTATTATATTTGCGTATGCAGCCTAAATGTATCATTTTCACCTCGTGTAACAGGGGTTCGCCCGTTTTTAGGATACTGCTCCGGTATTCGCCTGGTGTTGATCGGAGAAACCACGGAAAACTATCAATCGGAGCAGTCTGCCACTAGAATTCTCGAGACTGCGGTTGAATTGGACCTAGCTCTCTAGATATTGTCGAAAAATCTGCCTCCGTCGGGTGTCGAATCCCAGGAGCTCCCGCTCAGAGCCACTGTAGTGGCATTAGCTGATGCTCGAGCCACCTTTGCTGATTGGTCGTGCTGACAATTGCAACACTCAGACTACAGCATATCCTGCATTGCTCCATTCCTTGACGCGTTCGGAGCAGGTTGCCTGAGGACGCGTTCAGGATGGACCGCGTCGTGGATCTGTGGGAGGCTGAATGGTCCTGTCAACGTATTGCACCGATAGCGATCATCACAATCACCCACTGTTGGTAGCAACGGGCAGAGGAAGGCTCGCGTACTCGTAATGCAGGATTTGAACGGCCGACACGCAACACGGAGTCAGGACCGACGGCTTGGCCCCCCCACGCGAATAGATTCAGCGGCCACGATACGATACGATACGATAATTCAGTGGCCGTTGAAGCTTCCTCTGTCACGTCATGTAAGTGCCAATTGGTAAACCTGCCAACTGAAGAATCTCAACAAGTTTCAAGTTTAAGATATAAGTTCGTTTTACAAAAAAGGGTGTATTTTGACTGCAATATAAACAATTACAACAGCTTTTTCGATAGTCGTACCAAATCATTACTGATGGAAGAAAAAGCAGGAGAACTACGCCGAAGTCGCCGAGCATGCAGATGATGTGGTAAATGGCCTTGGTCGCCGTATACCAAGGCTATTGCCAGAAATCCGCCAAAGTCGTAAACTTCTGCACGACACTCTCACTGACGAACCGCTTGACACGCTGAAAGCTGAACTCAGGCGGCTCTGTCGGCGACCTTTTGATACAGTCAAAAGCCGAGTGAGCCACTTCTCCCCAATGGCCGCGCCGCTGACGCGCGACGCCGGGAATGCGCGGCAGCGATCTTTCCGAATGCGCCCAGTGAGGCGCCCGCTGCCCTTGGCGAGAGGCCAAGCTCGGCAGCGCCCTTTGCCGCGCCGCCGACGTGGCTGCCAGCACGGGCGATTTGCAGGAGCTAGCCGCACATAACATCGACCAACTGTGGTTGCACGCCGCAGGACACGTTACAAGCAGACTGATGAAGACTACCGACACTCACACGCCTGCAGCCGCCTATACAGACTCGTCTTTTGTCGCGAATGACGAACATGAGGCCATGTAGAATGGCATTGGGCCATAGAAGTGACGAAACTCACTCTGCCTTAGTTTACGACCACAGGATCTAGGTCTGGAGGTTCAGAAAGGAATGTTACGAACAGTTTGTCAATTCAATTGAATAATGCCGTAAATTACATTGTGAGGCTTGGGCAAACTGGCCTGCTCTTACGCCTTCTCAAGTAAATTCCTTTACGCTTCTTTCACCTTTAACAGAAAGGAGGAATCATTAGTGATGAAACAGGTGATGCGACTAGTTCAGTGGCTTCTTTGCGGCTTGATCTTGCTGTATATCTACATCATCGAACAGTGGCTTTACCGCCTCTCCTTAGGAAGGTGTTCGAAGGCTTTTTTCGCCCTTAAAAATTCATGGCTTCGATCGGGTTTGATATAACCATTCAGTACGCTAACCGTTAAACCACCGAAGCCACTATGTCGTATCCGTCACATGTCCCGCCAGCGTGGTGTGGTGTGATATGATGTGGAGGTCCCATGTCGTGTGGTGTGAACTCACTGATTGTGTTCCTCATGGGGGTCGTGATAGCTACGGTACTTTCAGGAGATCATGCAACTGTTGGCTCTCCTGTGAACGCCCACACCTATGGCCTATTTAATTAAACACGACAACGCTTGTTTTCATACCGTTCCCGCCTCCAGAGCGTGTGTACACAATGGCCAGCCTCATCGCCCACTTTTCCCAGCTCGAGAATGTATGAGGTATTATGGAACCTGCGGTCAGGCCACATCATTCCGCGAGAACTGCGTGCACAGGTGCAAGCTGCATGACATGAACTATCACAGGAATCCAATCGAGACCTTGTATCTCCATGCGGCGGCACTTGGCCGCGTGCGTTCTCTATCATATCCCCACGTCATACTTCATGTACTTTGTGGTACCGGGTATCGCAAATAATATTGTGAAAATGTAATCTGTTCGTACGTGTGGTTCTTTGCACCTGTCTGTCAACAATTACCGCAATCCGCCCTGCACTGGGTGCAGCGTTTGTAAGACGAGTGTATACTACATACACGCTCGCTCACACATACACGCAAGCCCACGCACTCGCTCACACGCACTTACGCACACTCACTCATACAGACACGCTCACTCACACACGCGCAGGTCGAGTCATTTCATACCAAACGGAAACACCACCGTCTTAACTTTTATTCAATAAACAAATGTTGATGCCATTTTGCTCAGAAACTCTTCCTTACTTCACAACAGTCCCCGGTTTGTCTTTCTCCATGTCCAGAAGGTTGTGTTTCAAATGCGTCGAAGCGCTAAGGATATTTCTAAGAATTGTAGAAGAAAAATCTACTTTTCCAGATGCTAACAATAAAAAACGAAAATTCTTGAGTCGACAATATTGGGGTGCATATTACGACACAAATAGACCGGTTAGTTCTTTGTTTATACTTCCTCTGCATACTCTTTAAATACACTCGTATTCTTGTAACCTTACATTATTAAACGGCATTAATGGCCACATTTCCCCAGAACCAGCAATGACCGCTCGAATTGATATCCCAAACCCCATGGAATTTTATGTGCTGGTTATGATCATGGGTTTCGATGTTACGTCGTTATAAATTTTAGTTTTAATTTTGAATGCTTTTTTAAGACTCATGTGTACGATGAAAAGTATATAGCAGGTCTATGTTGCGTAAACATTGGTTTATGCCAAAGGAATTTCGTCAAAGATAGAAATGTTTCCCGAATCATTCACAATTTATTAGAATTTCGGAATTGCCTCAGTAAAAATTTTGAAAACATTTTTGATATGAAATTGTTAAGGCAATTGTGAATAAAGGGAATGAAATTGATGTCAATTCTATATTTGCCAAAAAAAACTAGATGATTTAAATTCCACAGAGGCTATACTGGAATGACAATGTATGTGAATAATTACAAAACTACGCTATGGTTCCGTTGGTTTTAAAACCCTATATGACAGCTTATGAAATGTTTATCACATTTTAAAAACTGTTGCATAAAATACTGTGGCATTAGAACACATACCTAACAGCTGCAATCTTAACTTACAAATATGATATTGGATATGCCTGCTGATTTGCTTTGTATTTGGAATTCATATTTTTTACTTGTTAATGATTTTTCCTTCACCATAGTATGTTTTGTACATTTTACTCATATGATAACTTTTATTACTCATAATAACTTACTTTTATTAGATATTCAAATATTATTACTTGGCATATTCAATAAGTATTTTGTGTTTGTGTGTGTCCCCCAATTGAATAAACATAATTATAGCCTCAACTAAATTGTTTGAAGTAGTGTTTTTCTGTATATTACTAGGTGCAGTATCTGTTGCTGGTGGAACTCCTGGTTTGTGGGCAGTAGAAGGGGGCAATTACTTAGTGGCTGAGAAGCTTTTGGAAGCTTCAAATGCTACTCTAATCAAAGGCCAAGTAATGAATGTAACATTGCTGCCTGGTGGAGAGAAGTTTCAACTATTTTTTTCTAGTCCACAACAGAAGATTGAATCCAGAATTTATGATATTGTGATACTTGCTGCTCCAGTAGCTGCGAATGTAAAACCAAATATTCAGTTCTCTGGTTTTCCTAGTGCCTTCACTTTTCCTGGAAAATATCACCAAACTGTGTGTACTATATTAAAAGGTGATCTAAACAACAAATTCTTCAAACTTGATAAATATCAAATTCAGGAAATTTTGTCAATAAATGGTAGCTTATTTTTCAATTCTATAGGAAGAATTTATCCTGTTAATTCAAAGAAAAAGTGTGATAAATGTTTTGTTTGGAAAATATTTTCTCAGATGCCATTGCAAAAAGAGGACTTGCAAAAATTATTTGTTAATATTGAAGAAATGAAAACAATTTCATGGAGAGCTTACCCTCATTATGATACTAAGCACTTTTCTAGGAATTTTGTATTGTATAAAAACTTGTTTCATATAAATGCAATAGAGTGGGCTGCGAGTGCAATGGAAATGAGTGCTGTGGGAGCAAAGAATGTAGCTTTATTGGCATACAAAAATTGGTTTAATCATACTAGTGATGCTTATAAACAAACTGCTACAAAGGAGGAATTGTGAGTGTGTGTGGTAATCATCAAATAGTGATCTCTAGTTTGAAATAGTTTTTTATTGCATAGTAATAAACAAATGAGCACATGAACTTCAAAACTTGTAAATATTGTTTTGTTTTTGATTTGTACTAGTTGAATATTCAAATGGCCATTTAATTTATTTATATCTTTTGTACATATGTAAAAATGAGAAGTTAATTTAGTGTTCTCAAGCAAAGCAGTGACTATTTGCCCAATAGATCAAGGGAAATTACATAAAACCCGATTGGGTTGGATTCATTAAAACAGAAGCTGATGGCAATAGTTGGTACAGGTATATTCAGTCATTCAGAGTTGTACAATTTATAATTTCAATATTGTAATGTGGGTTGTCTTATTGTAAAATAAATATAATTTAGTTTTTCATATTCAGTACAATTTAATTGCTTACAACAGTTGCATAGCAGAAAATGTTTTCATGCCATTTGAACTTGTGTATCCATTTTGATTGTTTAACATTCTCTAGTAATTGGTGTACAATGTACAAGAATTGCATGTACTATATTTGTTGAGGATTATTGAAACAAACACCTGCTGAATACGTTTCCTGCATCATGTTATATTTGTCAATATTGGTATTGCATTGCAAATGGGTGTCCACCCTTGAATAAGTACTATGCTTCAACAAATCTTCAGTAAATGAGTTAAGGCAATGGTTGGATTCCAAGCTCAATAAAAAGAGGCTTGTCCATATCACATGGATGCCTTTTGCCCATTATGTGGACCTTGTACCTCTCCCAAACTTCCTGATTTTTTAGATATGTTTTATGTATACTTAACTATGAATTGTTAATTTAAAAAAATTGAGCTACAAAGTTTACATCTTGTTTTTCATACCATTTAATAACTTAATTTTTAAACAAGAAAAGTATTGATGCAACCTGGTGAAAGACCTAACTAAAGCTGTTGCAACATTCATATGAACTGAAATGTTACTGGGATGCAGGGATGGATAGGAGGGGAAGAGGATTTCAATTTGACTTCCCAAGCATTTTTAAATACTTTTAAAAAAAATGAAAAATGTTTTATCAATCGCAATATTTTTTATAATGCGATTCGTATGTAGGAATTTGAATAAATTTAGTTAAATTACATTATAAAAATTTTAATCGAAGGGGGATGTAGCCAATGTTTTGAATTAGTTTTACATTCTCGTCTCGCTAGGTACCAGTGTTTTCCAGCTAAGTTTTCTCTGCAAAAATTGCATTTCAGAGACATATAAACACTCCAGAAACATGTAAATTGTTTATTGTTTGCAAAGATTATTATATTTGTTCACAAAGAAAATTAATACATTTGTTCACACACAAAAATTAACACAGAAATAAAAAAGCACAGAATTTACACAGTTTAAATTCTTTTTTTAACTTTGTATTAATTTTTCTTTTTAAACATTGCTGGGAGCATTGTCATTGCTGCCCACCAGGCGGTGCAGATTCGGCCGTGGCGCCCACAACGCCGTGTGCTGCTTACTTTTCCGGGTACTTGCGCAGGGGCAGGCATCCGAAAATAAGCTATACACGGCGTCCTAGGCGCGACGGCCGACTCTGTTGCCAACCGTTTATTTTATATTTTATATTAATTAGAGAGAGTATTTAAATGTGTGTATACATAAACATTATACATTTATATATTTAATACCATTTAGTAGTATCTCAAGTCATTTAGTAAATAAATTAACCAGCGTTAATTCAAAAGATTGGTTTGTATAGTTATGAGCTAAACGTCTTTAATTCCCAAATGTATAAAAGGCACGCTGTACAAAAGACAAATTTAGAGGAATGTTTAGCGAAAAGTTAGAAAAAATTCTTATTAAGTGAGTTGTGTTGTTGTTCTTTTAAATCGTGATTGAAATCTTTGATTCCCCATTAGATCCCTCAAGTGTGTCAGATATCTTCGAATTAATTTCAATATAGTCAGGAATAATTAATATTGATAAGTCAGGGAATAGTGTTTTCCAAACTGTTGCTATTAATTTTCTTCAACAATTCGTAAAATAATTGCCATATTTAAGAGTCAGAATATTGCCTCACTGGTACCCCGACTTATAAGTTTAAGAGGCGACGCTTTAGGTAGGAAAGTGCTGATAAATCTAACGGATTTTCCGTACGTCTCAGAAATTTACTGTACTTACAAACGAGGGCTGTTTTTTTCAATCTTTGATGGACTGAAGTAAAAATACAGGAGTAAAGAAAATTATTAATTTATGTCATGAGTCCTCTAAATGAGTCTTTAAGAAGGAAGCCGGAAAGTTAGCTGAGAGGCGGAGATATAGCGACACCGAATAGTTTACCTTCCGGATGCGTTCTTAAAGACTAAGGACGAGTTACATACAATGTTTTTTGTTGTTATTTTTAGTTATTCAAAATAAAATTTTATTACTTTCATGAGTTAAGAATTGTCATTACTCTGGACTTTCTGTAGCAAGGTTTGGTGGTACTGGATGCATTGTTTGTGATCACTGCCCTGAGGAAGCCTGTGACATATCAGGCGAAACGTCGGCCTCCCAGCCAACAACGCGGCGTCTCCCGGATAGCCGAGAATTTATGAAGATAAATCACTTAGTTGGAATCAATTAGACTTGTCACCTTTAGTTAAGGCCTGGACTATCACTGCCACATCTTTGTGAACCACCCTTAGTACTAGAATGCTCATTTCATAAACAATTATCCTTACATGGCAGCTTTAGATGATCTGTCCAGATTTGAGGACTTTACCGTAATTATCATCTGTAATTTCTAACACTTGTTTCTAATTGTATGTCTTTCCTAAAAGTATATTTCTATTAGGAGGGTAAGCTACATAGAAAGAGACAGCTGCGTAGAAAGCACTAAATGCGAAGGAAGCGATAGTTTGGTTTTGTCAGGTTTTGTGCCGAAGACACCCACTTTTATAAATAACTTTAGCAGGTTGAATTACCTTCATGGGGCGCCACAGGAAATGGAGTCTTATAAAGGTAACGCGGGATCAGTTACAGGACAGATTTCGCTGTGTTTGTGTTTGATCGTGAATACTCTTTGTTCGTTAATATGCCTAATCTAACGTTTCAAAAACCGAAAAATTGCTGTATTTATGCGGAAGTTGAAGTTGAATAGTTGTTAGACCCCTGAAATATAACTTTTATGGCCGCCGCAATAATATACACGTTACTGTCATCTTTTTGCATTTGTTCTATTCTTTAAGTACCAGTTTTTAATAGATTTTTTTCTCAGTGTCGCAAACTCTTAGTTGAATACAAAATAGTGTCTGTTTTATAAGTCTGATACTAAAAAAGTTTCCTTTTAATTATCTAGGTAACCTCAGTTAGTGAGATAAGATTTCTCTCATAACTACTTGGCTGCTGAATCTACTCAGATATAGCTGCAAGAGGTTGCAAGTATTCAGCAGAGACTTTCTGTTTTATTTGTGGAGACTTTATTAAAATGAAAGGGAAAATTCCCCATCTCATCACCAGTGAAGATTTATGAAGCGTACAAGGCTTACTTACGAGGCAAAATCATTCGAATAATGAAAAATTGACATCCGCATGATCCCTGCAAGCCTCCATTGAGCTTGGAATCTTACCACTGTCTTGCCTATTTATTTACGAATATGTAGTATTTGTCAAAACTTACTTAACGGTTGGGACATATTTTCATGCAATACTGATATTTATAATTACAACACACGTCGTAGAAATCACGTTCATCAAGTGTCAGTATCATCAGCTCACTATCAGAAATCCACATACAATACATGTACTACGTTACTTTACAACGCATTGCCAGATGACATTAAACAATTGGAGGCGGTACACAAATTTAAGTTACAAGTAAAATATTTTCTGCTGCATAACTGTTCCTATACAATTAGATAATATACTGATCATCAAAAAGAAAAATAATGTTTATTTTAACAAAACAGTGGTATATAATGAAATAGTTTACATTTGTATTGTATATTTTTTTAAAGGTTTACTATGGAACAAATAATGTACTTTATCTTCCGGGTCAATGGCGCCAATCCTGATCAGGTTTTTATCCTGTTTCCCTGATACATTGAGCAAATGCAGAGATGTTCCCTTGTTTTGCTTCTGGACGTAAATGTAGTTTCACTATGCGCACGTTTTATTGAGCTCTCCTTTTGCTTGTAGTGGTAAGAGTAGATGTAAGGGCGAGTTACTATTTTGTTAGCAATGCAGAAAAATCAAACCTGCAGTTCGTTTACCGTTGAAAATAGGTTTTCTGTATTTCGGAAACGAAAATGTTTAGTTTTTCAAGTGTTTCTGATTTCTCACTTCTTTTAATTTTATTTTTATTTATTTATTTTTAACTTTTACTCATCTTTCCACTATTTATATTAAAATGATGGGAAGGAATTCTGGAATTCAAGAAAACTTCTTGATGATCTTCTCCCCCATACATACAATTTTTACCATTTTTGACTAAAGAAATCTAAATACTTTTTATAATGCTGCGCTGGCAACAAACTTGGCTCATCTCTTGGTTGAATTAGACGTTTTAAAATAATGGCTGAAGTGATAGTCGCGCAGAAAATGCAATATTTCAATAATACGTAGCTATTTTCAATAACGCGAGAAAATGTGTGCTGTTGGAGCACAACTAGTTCCCATTGATGCATCTGGATTTAACTGGTCTTCCTGAAATTCCAAAAATCGTTCATTCCAAAGAACGATATAAAAATTGGTAGCGTAAGGAGATGATAATAATAAATATCATTTTCAAACTTGACAACAATACACTCACGTTCGTTAGTAAATTTATTTTTTAATCAAGATGATCTCTCCTTCACTTCGCAATTCATAAATGGAAAAGAAAACTATACTTCTGTCCTGGATTTTCGTGGAAGTGAGAAACTCTCCAATCAGTATTAGCGACTGCAGATGTTCATTTTCGTTAAAGTTTGGTAAAATTACACTGATAGAACTGTCAAAGGTATTTCAAAATGTTTATTACTTTGTTTTTTTGTACATGTTTAAATAGGAAGTTTATTAACAGTAAATAATAAGAGACCATGTCTATCTATTATTTAATGTATTAATCGAGATGTTACAATGAAAATTTTTAAGCTTTCATTCCTTTCCCATGCTTTAGAACGATGGCTTGTTTCTGCTATAATACAATGGGCTTGATACTTGTAAGTTTGAAAATGACCTTTATTATTATCGTCCTTCCACTACATTTTTTATTTTGTTCTTTTCGATTATTGTTGCTTTGGAAAAGTTCAATTCAGATCAACAAATGAGAAAAAATCTCTCACTATGATCGTTAATATTGATGTTTGTGCATATCTTCTTCCTGTCAAGACCATGGATTGCTGTAGTGAAATATCTATCCTTTCCAGCCATCTCGCTCTGACCCGTATCTCCACGAAACAGTATCGACGCCGGAAAGACCACCTTCATGAATGGGGACTGTGGCAAGGGCGGCTACAGAATATGTCAGAAAGTCTAATTTTATATTCAAATTTCTATCAAACTACTAACATATGATGCATTATTTTATTCCTCTTTTTATGATCTATCCATTGCTGGTGAGAAAAATATATACGTCTATTTAATAAATCGAAGATGATTAAATTTGTCGAAAACTAAAAATATTATATGCAATTTCTCTACGGGGTGCTACTTGCCCCACGATTCCGCATTGTTCTACGAAAACTTTCGTATTTCGATATCCTGAACCGTCTAGAAGTTATGGCGGTGGTTCATAGTTGGTGTGCCACCTGTATACCGTGTGGCCCACCTAAGATGTTCCCTTCAATTTTCTCCTGAACCGTTGCAGATACTGAGATGCGGTTTTCACTGAAACCACTAAAACCAGTGTGCACAAGTACCTTCCTGACAATGTATAATGTGACAAAATAATATAACATCTGTAAAATGGTCTCGAAAATCCATTAATGCATTTCTCCAAGTGTCTCTGGAAATATATTTTTTTATTAACAAAAATATTGAGCTTCTTTCTTTTTTTCTCTTTCGTCTTTTTCATCTTTCTTTTAAATGCTGTTACAGGGAATGAAAAATTTCTTCGAAATATCAAGAATTCGCGTTATCGATGTTTGTTGTCTTCCAGGTTTGTCTGTATCTTTCAATTCAAATTTTCTATGTAGATCAATAAACAAATATTTGTGTATTTTAAAAATACGAAATCCCTTCGGAAAGGTTTTTG